TCTCAACTTATAGTTCCAGATTTAAACACAGGATATTTCCAGAAGGAGGGTTCCTTATTCGCGAAGGCTTTCACATCCGGGATCTAATGGTTGCTGTGGGTTTTTCGGGCTCTTTGGCCATGTTCTGAAGGTTGTTCTTCCTAACGTTTAACCAGTCTCTGTGGCCGGCATCTTCAGAGGACAGCACTCTGTGCTCTGGTGCAATTTGTTTGGGAGTATTTATGGCTGTGAGATCAGCTTTTGTCCTTTTCAGGAGATGGGTGATTATGGTGATCAGTGTGTACATCCACAACAAAAACACACTGTTTTTAAATGTGGGGCCATAGGTTTTTGGTGGATTTTAATTGCTGAGAGAAAACGGGGTATCTATATTTGGATGATGAAAGTTGTGTATATTTTAACTTTTTTTTGTAGTGTTGTCCAGTTTTACCTTGGGGAAGAGCACCTCATTTCGTTGCACCCACTTGTGAGCGCAATGACAAATAAATTTCTTATGTCTTATGTCTTATGTCTTATGTCTTAAATACTCAACTCCCAAACAAACTGCACCAGAGAACAGAGTGCTGTGCTCTGAAGATGCCGGCCACAGAGACTGGCGAAACGGTAGGAAAAACAACCTTCAGAACACGGCCAGAGCCTGAAAAATTCACAACAACCAGGGTTCCTAATGTTCAAGAATACCCGTACACAAGGCCATGCCATTTGGACCTCCTCCCCCCATTTTAAAACTGCACAGTGAACTGCTGGATCGCTCAGTGGTTTAGACATCTGGCTGTGGATCCAGAGGTTGGGAGTTCGATTCTCCACTGTGCCTCCTTGACAGGGGCTGGGCTTGATTATCCACAGGGTCTCTTCCAGCTCTGCACTTCTAGGATTATACTAAAAACAGTCACCTTGAAGCACATCTGTAGTACATCGAAAACACCACAGTGATCGACTTTCTTTTCAGTGCATTTCACATAGAAAAGACGAGGGCAGGGAGGGATCAATGTCATACACATTTAATATATACAATATTAAGGCACAAATTTAAGCAGCAGAAAACAAGGGAAGAAGAAATATCTTTGGATAGCCAAGGATGTCACATTTTGTGAGAGCTTTCCATTCTCATTTTGCTTCCCCATGTTTGTACCAACACATTTCAGCAGCACAACATTGTGTACAACAGATAGATAATGGGGGTGGGGTGCGGAAACAGGATCTTACAACCAGGTAGCCTGGAATACAGCCACACAACACAAGTGTTATCTAGCACAACACTGTGGCACACGAGCCAAGGAATCAGCAGAGCAAGAAACATTTCGCTACAGGCTAATATTTTGTTAATAGTAGTATTTTACATACACTCTGCTCTCACTTGGGGTGAGGAGGACAGTCTTACACAACAATAATATACAAATGGTTAACTGTAAATCTGGCTAGGGATTTGAAAGCTACCTGCAGTTTGTTTGCATACAAAGTCTGTAGCAAGCTGCCTTTCCTATGCAAAGGAAGTGTGAGGCATAAGTTTACCTTGGGGGGGGGGGTTTAGAAGCAATGGGACTATTGCATAAATACCATGAGTGGGGTGTATGTGGGGGGGGGGAGAGAGCAAGTGGTGAGGTGACTAATTTTTTCTAAAACTACAAGGTGTCACACCTCAGGAACAGAATTGCTAGTGACCAAAGAGTGGCACATACAGCCTCAGTCCAGATACTTGCTCTGTACCAGTGCATCGTGTGGAAAAGTCTCTGGGTGACCATAGTAGATGGCAGACCCTAAATGGGAACAACTGGCTATGCCATGCGATGACCATTCAAGGTTTGTTCTGGCCCATGCGATGACCATTCAAGGTTTGTTCTGACCTTCATCTTGCTGTTGCTCACTCGTCCAGTGCTGTGCTACATAAGCTGCTTTGGCTAGAGTAAGGAAATGGGGCCATGTGCCTTGCAGATGTTGAATCCCTGGCTATGCCACCAAACAACATCTGCAGGGCCACCCATTGCCTACTCATGCTAGAGAGAATCAATAGCATTCCTGTTCTGGACTACTCCCTCTCTGAATAGCATGAGAACTAGAAACACGGCTTTCTTTTGTCTACTGTTGTGCCAGGAACAGCACCCACTTCGGTCTCTGGGAGGTTTCTTTCCTTATAACGTTTCATTAAGTGTATGAACCGGAGCCAATATAGAGCAGACTTTCGTCCAAACAAGCAGAGCTAGCCACGTACAAAAGCATATTATTAGGCAATTTGGGAAGTGTACATCACACTTAGCACCAAAAATACTGAACACATATTTATCCATGGCAATTAACAGGATGTTAATTGTTTCCGATGCTATATTTTAAAAACACGTCCTTCCTGCTGAGGAAAATAAGCAGCATACAAAAGCTGACTTTGTCTATATGCTAGATTCCACTTGAGCCTGTAAAGTTATCTTTTAAGATTATGAAACTCATTGCAAGATTCACCTGCACAATAATTTTTTACTAGTAGCCTCCCGTTATTTTAATTACTCATTATGTTGTTCATTCCTTTTTTGTTCCTTTTTTTGAAAGAAAAAAAGGTCTACCTCAATACGTAAGAAATAGCTTATTTTTTTTAGAATTACCTCAAATAACTTTTAGTCCTCAAAAAGTATGAGAAAAAGTAACAAGTCAATGTTATTAGTTGTACATTTCCCTTCGTTTGGGATAGAAGAATATTGCAACGCCTTTATTGTTCCCAAAAGTGACTTGTTACAGGTAACACAGTAATTTATAACCAACTGTGTTCAAGCTCCAAGATCTTCATGTAAACTCGAAGGGCAAACATCCACGTGTGGATCAAACATGGCATGTTTGTATAGGCGCGCATCATGGCATGGTGCTGGTTCTGTGGCTGCAAGAGTCGATCACCAGCTAATGGTGGAACACATGGCACCACTGGGCAGGATTAGTGCTGTGCTGGTGACCACTAAATACTATTGGCCTGTGTTCAGAAGCATAATGGATTCCCAGAACTTGGGTCCTATTGAAATCATGTGGCTCATGACCCATCCAAGTCCCATTGATTTCAGAGGGAACCAAATGCAGCTTAGTCTGGATCGCACTCGCTGGCCAAATCCTATGGCTTATATATTCCAGCCTAAGTGCAATTGCATAAATCCCAGCAGACAATTGCTTCCACTTGTATTTCTCATGGGGCATAAAGTTATTTGATTAGTGTGCAAGGAGAAATATAAGCAGTAACCCGTGATGTGCCATCAAGTCAAAACTAACTTACAATGACCGTAACAGAGTTTTCAAAGTTAGTGAGGTATTGAAGGAGCGGCTTTACCAGTTCCACCCTCTAGTGAGTTTTCATAGGCAGAGACAGAGAGTTGAACCCGGGTCTCCTGAGTCCTACTCCATCCACTACACTGCACTGGGTACCGCAGCGAGTTCTTAACATTGGGAAAGTCACCACTCTGATTTATATCATTGCACTTACATTGGTATAAGTTATCAATATGATCCCGGCCACTGTGTTTTAAAAGGTGTGTAAATGATTTGGCTATATCTCCCTACTGCATGTTTATAGGGCCAAAGACCCCTCTCTTATTTCATAAACTATGCACATTTGCTTTTCAAGAAACAGCATCAGTGACCTGGTGGTGAACAGAAGTAATCCCTACTAGTACAAAGAAAGACCGAAGCTGGTGTATACACACATGTAAACTTCACATGATTGAAGTCTCATTTTTTTAATGTTCAAGGTATGACTAAACTGCCTAACTTTTTCAAGCCACCTGCACAATACAGAAAGCCAACACCTGTAATATTTTGCAATACATATGCTGCTGTGAATTGTACGTTGTGCTCTTTATCAAAGCATGTCTCAAGTAGGGAAAAGGGGGGAGGATACAGTAATGGGAAACTACTGAGGGTATACAGTGACAAAACTAAATGCTTAGATTTAATGGATGTGCTCAGTTGGGGCCAGATTATAAATTAACACTGAAAAGCACCTATGCATTTTTTATATCAACACCCACTGTAACATAGCCAGTAGAATTTCTTATTCCCACCCACAGGTATGCAACAAGGAAGATATTAAATATGGGCACCAGAGGATAGTTCTTTTCACAGACATCCGATGCACCCTGATTTGCTTTCATCTCTGGCCAACAGGTTCAAGAGATTTCTATGTGATTCAAAAACCTGCACAACCTCTTCCGTCAGAGACAAAAGTGAGATGAAATAAATATGTGCATATAGCACAGTATCCTTAACTTTGTTAATTCTAGATTAGCATGTCCCCAGCCCAACTTGCTTTCAGGGAAAAAAATGCACTTCTCTAGACTCCAGGGGGAAAAAAACCATTGTCTTGGTGCTGCATAACTTATGTTTTTGGTGTTTTAACACAAAAGACATCCACATGTGACACAGCTCAGTTGAGCCAGCAAGCATTAGGACCCAGGGAATACTTCAATAAACTGACAGTATGATTCATACTGGCCAAACCACAAGGAAAAGGGAAACAAATGGTGGAAAGCCAGTGAGATTTGGGATGATCGAACAAATGGTGGAAAGCCAGTGAGATTTGGTTTGGGATGATCACCTAACATAGGAGTTCCAGGAAAGATTGAAGGAAGTGGGTTTGTTTGGTTTAAACATTAAAAAGTGGTGGACATAATATACCCTCAACTGACACTCAAACTCCAAACTATCATCTTTCTCCATCTGTGATCTGATTTGCACATCATTTTTAAGAACTTCAAGTTATGAAAATGATTGGGTTTCAACGTGTGTACGTCTTCATCAACTCTACGTACTACAGCCTTCCACCACATGGTTTATCTTTAGATCATGATTCCCATAATTCCAGGTCACTGGAAGGAATTATGATGGCTGTTGCTGGTAGGGGTTGAACATTCAAAATATCTAGAGGTTAGTAGGTTGGGGAAATCTGTTGTACTGTATACTCATTTCAGCAACAAGGTTTCTCCCATCTCAATTAGCCAGAAAATGGTTGGGAAAAGGCCAAGCAGCTGCCTCTTGGGGGCAATAAAACCTAGGTATATTTCATACTTGTGTTTAGAAAGCAAACCAGGAACAACAGACATGTGGAAACTAACCATTTCTGCCCGGCTGCAGGATGGAATTTCCTTATCAACAGCCTTGTTTGTGAGCAAGGGCTCTAGATTCCCAGACCCAGCAAGAATGGGGCCCAACTTTGAGCAGATTGACTAGCATGGAAGCACAGAGTAGTCTGCAGAAGGCAGCCTGCTGTCATTTGGACGCAGTAGACTATCCTCCGTTAGATCTGGCATGCAAGGCCAAAGGTGAGAAGCAATGGGAGTTGTAGGCAGAACTTGGTATCCTTACCTCTTTGGACTACAATGCCCAGAACCCCCAGCCAGCATGGCCACTGCCTAACTAGGCTGGTTAGTGAATTCTGGAAACTGTAAAAAAGGGCTGCTTTCCCAAACTCTGTTTGTAGATCAACAACATTTGGAAAACTATAGCTTCCCCACTTGCAGTCCGGGCTGCTGGCAGGTCAAAAGGCATAGATCAGGTGGTGCTGGGACGGGAAGGACAAAGGTTTTGAATGGAATTGCAGATGAAAAATCCATTTTGCAGCAACAGGGAGAATCATGCCTCCAGGTCACAGGAAGCTGCCTTACCCCTCAATCCGGACTGTTTATCCATTCGGTCCGGTAGTGCCTTCTTTGAAAAGTACGAGCTCTCCCAGTTAGGTCTCTTACATCTGCTACCTGAGTCCTTCCACTAAAAAATGCCAGGGATTTGAATGGGGGGGGGAGATCCTATGGATATCTTGGACAAACTCTATCAGAAGGTTTGGGAAGGGCCCTTCCTAAGATTTCACACAGCCAGTTGGAATCGGAGGAACTGTGCAAGCCTAGATAAGTCAACTCTGGAAATGCAGCAAATTTCTAGATCGTGCTTCTAAGCAATGGACTTCAGCTCACTTAAAGCTTATGTCCTGGTGAAATAGTTTTTAAGGTGCGACAGCAGCAGTCTTTGTATAGCCGCTTACCTGCTTAGCTTCTTGCCCTGACAGATTGGCACAGTTACCTTTCTGGAAGGAGATAAAACCTCAATTGGTATATTTCTTTAGGATCTGGATGTCTAATTCAAAACCAAGCTTTCCCAACCAAAGATCTTTCCAGATGTGCTGGAATACCCTCCACACACACCCTTGTCATGAAACTTGAGCAGGATGGGGATATAGTCTATGATATCTGGAGAGTTTCATGTTGAAGAAACCTGTCAAAAATTCCTGTTGGCAAGTCCCATGCCGGTGCTGAGTTCTTAATGGCGCTAGCCAGATTGCTGCCGCTCAATAAATAATAAATATAGACGGTCAGTTGTAGAAATCCGGGGAAAAAGTGGAATATTGACTTCCCATGCCCCGAATCAATGACAAACATCTGCATGTCTTGAAACTTAGATGCAAACAGAGGCTGGTGGCGAGACAAAAATAAGCAAAAGCAAAAAACACGTGAAAAAGGCAGTAAGATAATATTTAAAACTTGAGTTATCCGGAAGTCCTGCTCCCCATTTTGAGCTGTGTGTACTACAAGACATTTCACATGGAGAACAACAGATCTAAGTTAGTAACAAAATGGTACCGTCTTGCCTGTTGCAGGAAAGTATATGGCGCAGTGGCCACAGCTTCCAAAGATAATCCTTCTTTCACAATAGAAAATGAAGCTTTGTTCCTATGTCTCGCTGCTTCCTTTTCTAAGCCGCATCCCCTTGACCAACATCCTCACGACTATATGTAGCAGACACTCCAAATGACCCATCTTGGATCTCTCGCACACACCCCTTTTTAATTCAAAAAGTCAGATTCATCAAATATTTCCTTCTGGCTTTAAACTTTCTTGGACCAACGTCACATCCAGAGTTTCCATGTTTTTGCTCAGCAACAAGGGCAGACAGAGGTGGTGGGGGGCTGCGCCCATCTGGGGAGTTATGGGGCACTAGCAGAAAAAAAAAGCGAAGAAAGCTGCCTCACTTCAAATGAGGACCTCCATCATATCTGGATCTGGGAATTCGGCTTTGTGAAGCAGACTGCTGACCCGGCCTTTATTGTCAGGTAGCTTCCCGTGAGTAGGCAATGTCTCTGCAGAAAGAGAAAACAATTGACAAGGTATGAATGTGGATTTGAGCACTGAAGAGGACATGGCCTGCAGCTCTATCATTCTTCCTTCCAAATTTTTGCTGTTGTTTAGCACAAAATGTTGTTTAACACAAAACCTCAGGGAACACTCAAGGCAGCAAACTCTCCCCCTTCCAAAGAGCCACACTTTTGCAAAATTCAAACAAAACCAGGCATTTTACGATGATGTAACCTGAAGAGTTGCAAATAACTTCTTCAAATGCAAGCCACTGTCCATTTAGAATACTAGTTTTTAATAGACAGAATAGCCCAGGACATAAAATGTTCAAAGAAATCTATTGCTTTTTGCCACTGAGATCCTTTTTCCCTGGCCAATGTAATTAATTGGGGCAAAAACGGTCCCATGCTGTTTTTCAGCAAACTAAGATGTCAAGCAGCAAAATGGACCTACTTTGGTTTTTAGTAGGTGGGGTCCTAGTCAGAGTTGGAGGGTGTGGAGCTTCTGAAATTCTCAATGAGTTCAGGAAACGTATACAAATTTAACCCAAACTCTTAACTTGGGTCCAAACCACATAGCCCTAACAGATGGCTAATTCTCAATACATTCAAAAATTTCCTGAATGATATCCAATTAGGTTGAGAACAGGTAATCAGAGAGGGTTAATAGGAAAAGACTCTTTTCAGGTCTTTCCTGCCAGTTGTTTGATTACTTGAGTTTGCTGTTTTCCAAGCCATATGGAAAAAGTCATGGAGATCCTGTATTTTCTCTCTCGCGCAGAACTGGAAAAATAGCTGCTGACAGGCTAATTTTGAGCACACAAATAGCTTGCTAGGAAAGGATGAAGCATGTTCTTCCCACCACCACTGCACACCGAGCAAAATTCTTTTCTGGTATTTCATGTTCTTGATTTCCCAGTCCTTCCTTTGATCAGACAAAAGCCTGCATTTTGCATTTTTTAGTTGTTTTTCTTTGCTTTTTATATTTGTCCTAATCAGTTCTAAAATTTATATTTGATACTTATTTTTCAAATTTAAAAGTTAGAATTTGTCTTATCTTGGCAACTTAACATGAAATAAAGTTTTAGTAGTATTAATGAATCAAAAACCAGACTGGCAACAAAAGCACAAAATTTAAGGGGAAAAATAAACTTTAATGTCAGAACAGTGAAACCTAACAAAAATTGAAACCTAAATAAGCATATGTTTTTTTTTTTATATTTGTTGACTATTGCTATGAGAGCACCATATTGTTTGGTGGAATCGCAAGTGTCAGCTCACCTGCGCTGCTCTGCGCCCTTGTTTAAAATAATTATATCTCACAACATAGATACTTTCCTTTATTTTTGGTTTGTTAATAGTGCCAGGGACGTGGTGGTGCTGCGGGTTAAACTGCAGAAACCTCTGTGCTACAAAGCCAGAAGACCAGCAATCATAAGATCGAATCCACACAATGGAGGGAGCTCCCATCGCTTGTCCCAGCTCCTGCCAACCTAGCAGTTTGAAAGCATGTAAAAATGCAAGTAGCTAAATAGGTACCACCACGGTGGGAAGGTAACGGCGTTCCGTGTCTAGTCGCGCCGGCCACGTGACCATGGAAACTGGACAAACGCTGGCTGTACAGCTTGGAGCCAGGCATGAGCATCACGCCCTAGAGTCGGACACGACTGGACAAATTGCCAAGGGGAACCTTTACCTTTTTACCTAATACAGTGCCAGGTTTATCTGTGATGCCATACAGCTGAATGGCTTTTTCCACAAACAATTTTTTTTTGCAGTTCTCAATCCTGCACACCAGAATTCTACTCACGCACCCTGCCCATCAGAACTGCTGGGCTGGTCATGTCAGTGAAGAGGAAATGACTTACCAAGTCTCTCCCCGAGGCCTTTGCCAGCCGTGTGCCTTAGCGCTGGACTTCCACCCGGAGTACTGCCCAGTTTCCCTCTGCCTGGAAACGAAGCGGATGCATTTGGCCAGAAAAGTTCGGAGCCTTTGTCTGTCTGAGTGCTGTTGTCTTTGCTGCCCGTTCTTGCATGGCAGATGGGCACCGGCCACGATGACATTGCAGAGGACAAAGAAGGTGTGAGAGCTGGAGGAGGAGGCAGGGATGGCGTGGACGACTGGTCGTGGTGGTCCTTCCCTAAAAGCAACCCTGGAAGAAGAGGGAGGTGGAGAAAAGACAAAACGGTTTAAAATTAATTCAGTCTGATTATATTGCTCTTTTCCATAAAGCTTGACATGGCCAAGCATCAGAGGGCCATAGGAATGGAATGAAAGCACAACACTGTGCAAAATAGGAGCCAGATAGCAGTTCCTGTAGAACTCTGTAGAAAAAGGATTTCCCACCCAAGCAATTCACACTAAAAACATCAGTGCCACTGATTTTTAAAAAAATTCTTATACCTTAAAAAACACAAGAGATGGTTAACAAAAGACCAGGTTTGTAAAACTGGCAAAATGCTCTTGCCTTGCAGTGGTGAAGCTGTTGATATCAACAGGCTGGCCTGCTAGGATGACACAGAATGTTTACAAACATTCAAAGTCCTTAGAAAATAAACTAGTTAGAATGACTGCAATGCAACTCTTTTGAGAGAATCTGCCTGGGAATGAAGGAAGTCTCATATAAGCCCTAAGGGTGGGTTAGCTTTATGAGGAAGTCTTAGATACCATCAGCTGGAAAAGTGAAGGAATAGCCTAAAGGAAGTGTTCAGTCAATAAGAGGGGAAGGTTTCAACTGGATTTTAGCTCTTGATCTGAACTGACTAACAGGCAAAGGAATCTAACCACTCTAGAGTGCATGCTCCACTCACAATTGTTAGTGCTATGAATCTAAATTTGTCATTCGGTGGCCAAAATCCTGTTGCTTTGCACAGTAAACCGCACTAGAGTAGGCTCACTGAATCAAAGGGTATTCAGGGAGTTGGCTCCTTCAAATGAGCCCACTTTAGCCTAGCACAGTAAATCCCATTTGAATCAATGGAACTTAGGAAGGAATTGACTCACCAAGATCCCACTGGTTTAAAGGGCCTCTCTACTGTATGTTTTCAACAATGCTAAGCAACAGGATTTTGGTCACTATATTTTGGTACTCCAGTTTTCATGGATGAAATCCACCCTAAGCACAACACCTCCACGGATGGTGCAGATAAATTGTCTAGAAATTGATGTCATATATCTGGGAGAGATGATCAGTTCTTCTTGTGAGGCTGAGCCTCTATTGTCTCTGTAGAAAGGTTTGGAATTTTAAACCCCCTGGATGTCGAGACCAAAATGCTGCAAATTACCCCGGGATCACCCCCTTCTCATGCTGCTTGTTTGAAACAGTTTCTTTTTAGCACTGAGGAACAAGAGCCAGCAAAACCCAAACACGTTTGTAGCATGGATCGTACAACGTTATTAGAGCTGAGTGGTTTAAGTATTTGGCTGTGGAGCCAGAGGTTGGGAGTTCAATTCCCCACCGGGCTTCCTTGACTGGGGCTGAATTTGATGATCCGTAGAGTCCTTCCAGTTCTGCAGATTCTAAGATTATGGAGAGTCTAGGAAGTGCTGGCTTCAGCTTCCACATGGGTGGCCTTGGCCTCTTTCAGCCAGGGTGTGGCCTACTGCACCATTAAACTCACCGAAGCTCCCTTTCCAAGTCTTGTCCTCCTTCTTCTCCTCAGCCAACTGGTTGCTGGTGAGGGAGGTCTGTCGCGAGTGAGCGCCTGTGGCGGCAGCAATGGACGGGACTGACCGAGCAGGCCGCAAACTTGCCGCCTCCGTTTTGGCAGCATCCTTTCTGGACCGCTGCTGCAGGACTTTGATCATAGCATCTTTCTCAATGATTTTGGCATGTAGATTCTTTATCCTATGGAACAAATAGGTGAAAATATTCCAGAAGTGAGAGGGAAAAAAATGGGTTATCTGCTTCTTTTAGCTTTTCTGCAGTGGTGCTGATGAACATAACCTACACTGGCCAGCGATGTTGCTGGCATCCATTTCGTAAAGCATCCTAAAGCCATCTGCAAGAATGCGCAACTTTACCCTTACTTGGAAATGCTGTATTTTTAACTTTCTGAGCATCAGTCAAGGAGAAAGCATATTCAGAGAACCAGTGAGGTCGGTAGTTGCCCTGATGGACTGGGATGTAGGAGATCCGGTTTTCAATCTCTAATCTGTCACTAGATTTACTGGCAGCCAACAAGCATATTGGAGGAAAGGTGGGCTATAAGAAAGCACTAAATCCAGTTATTTATTCCAACCAGAGTAGATTCATTGAATGAATGGATTTTGTTGAGTCAGCACTGATGCAAGGTCCAGTTTATTAAGGAGATCTATTTTGGCTAGGAATCACCAATGAATTTTATCCAAACAAACATATATCAATGTACCTGCCTGCAAATTCAAGAAATCTGCTCCCTTTACACAAAAAAAGGTTATTATCCTTCCCCTCTCCAGAGACCCTGATAGCAACTGTTGTTTCCTTGTAGACAGCAAAAAGAGGGAATGATTTATAGGAAATCACTCAGAAACAACATTCCACAGCAAAAGGCATCAGAGAACCTACAGAGCCATACACAAGGCCACCGAAGTCCATACTTCTGTGGTCTCAGATAGGAAATCACTCAGAAACAACATTCCATAGCAAAAGGCATCAGAGAACCTACAGTCATACACAAGGCCACCGAAGTTCATACTTCTGTGGTCTCAGGATTAACTGATATTAGTTGGACCTGATAACCCAGGTCTCAGGGTTAACTGATATTACTGCTGGCATGTTGCGAATAGAGATAGATGGGTGGTTCAGGCCATTTTGCTGTGGCAGGTGTTCTGAGGGGGCACCATACACTCTCCTCTCTCTCCCCCTCCAGGCTATCACCTGTTCACCAGCAGCAGTGTGCTTCCCTCCTCCACCTCCTCAGGCAATCAACCACTCAGAGGCAGTGATGCAGGAGGAGGCAGAGGAGGGAGGCACAGTGCTGTCAGTGAGTGAGCAATTGTCCGGAGGAGGTGGGGGAGGGAAGGGCACGGTGCCTGCAGAAGACCTGTGTGGTCTCTGCACCAGATCACGGTTCGTGCCCATCTCTAATCAAGAAGCACAACGAGCTACAGCATAGTGTAACCTCATGCAGATACCACAGCAGCACATATGACTTACGTGTATTCCATGTCCTGACACCGCCGATTAGCTTGCATTATCTCCTCCTCTTCTTGCCACATGCGGACCTCCAGGGAACTCTCGCTATAGCTGCCATTCCGTGAATGATTCGTGACTGAGGTATCCCTAGAAAGACGAAACACTTTTAAACAAACAAACAAACAAAATTTCTATTTGCATGGTCAAAGAGAGGAGCATAAGAAACTGTCTTTTACTAAGTTATGCCATCACTACATAAGATGTTGATCCCACAGCTGAAGTAGTGCTCCCTCAAGTGGTGAAAAAGGTACAATTATGGAAATATGTTAAAGGTAGCACACCATACAACCAGTAACTTCATATACTGTGCCTTACTTTTCAGTCGGAGCAATGGCTGCAGCATTCATAGCAAAGTGACGAATTGCACTCTCCTCCAGATACTTCTGCTCCCATTTAGTCATGTCCGCTTCCAGAGCGAGAATTCTCTCCTCCTTCTCCCGCACTAACTCTATTAAAGCAGGCACATTGTACTCTGGCAGGGTGGCAGCCTGGTAGTTCCCTTGTCTCTGCAGTAAAGACACAGTTAAAAGATCTTCACCCTAAACGTAGCACAAGAACAGCCATACTGATTCTGTGGAACAGCAAAACATCTCTCTTCAGACTCAAATAGACAATAATTTTGCTATTAGATCACCTAAACTCTCTCCACTCCCCAGAACCAACACAAGGGAGAAAAGATCAAATCTCCCCTTTCTGTGGTCCTAGTCCTGATTGGGCAAGAGGCCCTCACAGACAAAATGATTTGCTGAATTCTGTTGGTCTTACTCCTGAGTAGATATATGTAAGACTGAACTGTAAATCATTGCTTACTTGTGTTGGATCAGGACCTGCAGTCAAAGCTGGCCTGCTCTCACTGGGGTGAGCGTGTCTTATTTTTTCAGATGACACTTACTCGTAATAAGCAGAATGCCGGAATGAGGCCTGCCTCTGGATCTTGTGATTATGGATACCCGTATCCTCAAGGGAGACAAATTCTGAAGCTGCTATTTAAATGCTATTCTATTTATGTCCTGCCAACTCCTCAGCAGGCCTTGGCTGGTGAGCCAGAAATACTTTCCCATGTGCCCTTTTTCTTAAGACTTTCAGGTTATATGGAACATTTTCTAGTGTCACTGCTGGAGACACAAATATGTAGCAGCAAAGGCTATCTCCGCTGGCCAGACACGTGGAAAAAACTCATAAAGCGGGTTGTCTTGCATAAGATGAGGGCATGTGGAAAGCCACCCTGTGGATCCGGGGGATTCCGGCACCCTGGCGCACTGAATTTGCCACATTATAGGGATGAAGCATGACATTTTGCTGCCTGAGGCAAAAGACAAGATGGCACTTCTAGGTATAGAAGTTGACCAGAACTGCCTGAGGCAAAGGACAAGATGGCACCCCTTTTCCCTTCTAGGTATAGAAGTTGACCAGACTGGAAACGTAAATCTCACAGAATCAGAGAATAATGGAGTTGGAAGCAGCCTACAAGGCCATCGAGTCCAACCTCCCCCCCCCACTCAATGCAGGAATCCAAATCAAAACATCAAATCTCCCCACTCAATGCAGGAATCCAAATCAAAGCATCAAATCTCACTTCAATGCTGCTGACAGGCCAGTGTTATTATTACTATACTTGAGGGCAACTGGCTGGCTTACAGGCACAAGCCTGACCATATGGCACACAAAGCACCACTTTGTTATCCAACTTCTTGCTGCCATTCCACCCCAACACACCTCCAGCATCTAGGAGCCCCAAAGCACAGTAGTTAAACTGCAGTACTGCAGTCAAGCCTCTGCTCACAACCTGAGTTCAATCCCAAGGGTTTCTTTCATGCAGCCGGCTCACTGTTGACTCAGCCTTCCATCCCGCGAAGATTGGTAAATTGAGTACCCAACTTGCTGGGGGGGGGGGCCAAAGTGTTCCTTGCCTAATTATGTTGTAAATCACCCAGAGTGTGCGCCAAGCACTGTGGGTTGGTATACAATAAATACAGTGGTGCCTCGCTTAGCGACGTTAATCCGTTCCAGGAAAAACGTTGCTAAGCGATTTAATTGCTAAGCGATTTTTAAAAGCCCATAGAAACGCATTAAAACACGTTTAATGCGTTCCTATGGGCTTCACAACTAACCTTATGCAAAGATCCCCCATAGCAGAAACGCATTAAAACACGTTTAATGCGTTTTTACCATAGAAACGCATTAAATTATGCGAAGATCCTCCATAGCGGCAGCCATTTTCGGTGCCTCTAAAGCGAGGACACACAGCGGGCGGCCATTTTGTTTTTCTGGTGGCCATTTTGAAACCACCAATCAGCTGTTTAAAAAGGGTCGCTTTGCCATGATCGCTTCCCCGCGATCATCGCAAAGCGATTTTTCCCCATAGGGACCATCGCTAAGCGATTACTCTTGCAATGGCCAAAACCCCATCGCTAAGTGATTTTGTCGCTCAACAGAGCAATCGCTAAGCGAGGCACCACCGTAAATAAATACTGTTTGATGTGATTGCTTTGCTCTGCCTAAAGGTAGGGCTCAGCCCACTGAATCAAGTACTGAGGATGCCATAGTTGGGGAAACTATAGTTTTTCAGGTTCAAATGAAAATTGCAAACAAATACAATTTCTTGCTGGGTTAGCATTATAAAATTCTACTCTCCACCCCTTGCATGTGGAAGAAGAGAGAAATTTAAGGTATCCTACAATAATTTCCATTCAGGAGCGCATTTTGTATGTGGTAGGAGAAATCTCAACCAAACAGCTTGTCCTCTGGACAAGCTTGAAATAAATCTAGCATAAATCTTGTCAAAGGGTGATGAATTTCTTCACCAGATGTCTGGGTCCTATTTTTATTCTATGTCATAAGAGAGAATGGAAATTATATGGCAAAAATAATTAATTACACTTACAGCTCCAAAATCTCCAACCAAGAGGTTATTTAAAATTTCAGTTGTAGTTTTGAAAAGCAACTCCTTGCTTTCCTATTTCTCAAAATTAACTAAAATAGTTAGTGTCTATGAACTTGAATGTGAATGTTTCTCATTCAGCAGTACAAATCAACAGTTGAACCATGTAATATTCCTCTTCTGCCATTTATTAAGGCCACAGCTCTGGGCTACAAGAGAAAAAGAGTGAAGTTACCTCTTGTGTTCTTTGTTAAATGTAAGTCAGTTACTCTTAAATTATGGAGCAGTGGTTAAACAGCAGTTATGCAGTCAAAACTCTGCTCACGAACTGCATGCAGTCCCAACAGATTCAGGTAGCTGGTTCAAGGTTGACTCATTTGTCCATCCTTCTAGGTATGGTAAACTGAGTACCCAGCTTGCTGGGGGTGTGTGAGGGAAATGTATAGCCTGCACAATTAAAATTGTAAGCTGCCCAGAGAGTCCTTTAAACTATGGGGCGGCATATAAGCCGCACACTTGAGCTATGCTTTGAATTTTTGGAAAAAGGAATTACAGTATTAATTATTTGTAATGACTTACTTCTACGTTCTGATACAAAACTCAGTCCATAAAAATGCCACCAGAATATCTTTTAAACCTCAATCTCACATAATATAAAACCTGTTGTCAAAATAAAAAAAAATTAATTTAATGAAAAAGGTCTTTTTCGTGAAGGCAAATAATTGAATTGTTAGAACTTGCTCAAAAATAGCTGTTCTCAGAAGTCTCACTTTAGCCATATGAATATGTGTAAGCCAATAATTGAATAATCACACAAAGGCTTTTGTTTCTAATAAGAACTTTGTACAGTTGGTTCTTAAACCTGAAGATTCCTAATAAGATTTAAAAACAAGGCAGCCATTTGCTTCCTGAACGTCCCATAACTCAATTTGGTGAATAACTGAATATAGACAAGTGTCTAAGAGAGGCAAAGACCCAAGAGTATGCCAAAGTTTTAGTAGACGAGAAATAGACCCCTCCATTTTCAAGATGGCCTGGAGCCAAATGGCTTTTCCAGATGCTTGTGTTGGACAATAGCAGCCTGAATTATGGTAGGTTTTAATTTGCTCGAGACATAGATACCCTCTGATACTAGGGCATGAAACCATTATACTACTGGCTACTGCTGTGTGTTAATAACTTTTGTTCAAATGTGGACCAAAATAGTAAACAGATCCCATAGTTCTACCTCATGTGAGATAGGAGCACCATGTCATCACCATGTAACAACCCTAAATACCCTGTCGCAGTGTGTGCATGTGGACACACCTGTGTGTGTGTACGTTCCACTTTTATCCCACATTTCTCATCATATCATGGCCTTTCCCCAACCCCAATCCCGTTTTATCTTTCCAATGATTCTGCGAGGTAGGGTATGTCAACAGACACAAACTGACCCAAGACCATCCTGTCATGTCAAGATAGCATACAAATTAAAATTAAAATTTTAAAAATGAACTATGGAACACACAGCTGTGCTTCACCCCTCTAGTCCAGGGGAATTCTGATTGTCACGACGAGTGCTGTGAAAGCAAGTGTCGGAGTGTAAAGTATCCTACCCAATCTGTAATATATTTTGGGACCATCTGCTTATACAGGAAGAACAGATTTATCCTAAACCTTTGGAAGTCTACAGTTTCTCCTAAGGGATAAATCCAAACTAATTTCCCGGACATTAGGTTGTACTGGAGAGCTAATTCAGTGGAGTTGATGATTAGAGCGTTTCACTAGGATGCAGGAGATCCAGGTTCTAGGCTCAACTGACCCATTGGCATTCATTGAGTGTGTGAAGGGAAAGACCAAAAGCTTCGGGTCTTTCTGGTAGAGCCGGCTCTCTTAAAAACATCAAAGTTGACACAGACTAGCCCTCCTTCTACCCCTGGTCTTAAGAAGGATCAAGGGACAGATACTCGTGAATTGGAAGAAGACAGACAGGGAAGAGGGATTTCCTGTGCTGTGGATACCAGTGATCTGGAAGAAGTACTCAAGGGGTTAAAGATAACCAACCCTTCTAAGGAAGATATGGCGGGAAGAAGAAGGGCAGAGCTGGAGGGTGATGAAGGGGGGCTGGGAGATATGAAGGTGGAAAGAGACAACATACTGGGGGGGTTGGGAGATGGTTTGGATGGAGGATCCGTGGACCGGATGCTGGGAGCAGGTGCGGGTACCCAAGGAAGAGGCCGAGAACCGGCGTAAGAGAGGTTTATTTCAAAGGCCCTCGTACTGGGGCGAGACCGAGGCAAAGACGTGGCGGAAGAAACTCCGAGAGACCAAGGAGGCTAGCGAGAGGGAGAAGGAGGCCCGCCAAGCATGGCATATTGAGCAGCTGAAGAAGATGGGCTGTTACCTGGTCCCTGGAGTGCCTCGCCGCCAGAGGGAGACCCTTCCTGGGGCTGGATGGGAGAAGAGGAAACCCTCCTGTTATTGAGTCCACATAATCTTGAGGGGGAGGATAAATGGCCGGAACAGGTCCCTGTTGGACCCTGGAATGTTACGCCTGTTACAGTGTTAAAGGAAACGGAAGGAATGCCCTCGCTTGAACAGTTGTCGGCAAGAGAGACAAAAACCAAGTCTAAAGTTAATGTTGAAGTTCCTTTTATTGAGTTGAATAAAGACAAATTGTTGTTAAAAAAGGATGCCTCGACTCCTTCTTGGGAAGGGCGGGAAGCCCCCATAACCGAACCCTCACAGAGTGACTTTAGTCTGTTTGAACCTAACCTGCTTCACATGATAGGTGTGAAATAAAATAAGGAAGAGGAATACCATGTACCCAAGTTTGCATAAATGTTCCTCCAGTCAACTCTCGGGAAGACAAGTAGAGTATAATGGTAATTCACAAATAATAATAAATAATTGACCTCGATGGGATAAGTTGATGGTAGCTTAATCTAAGTGCCCATTTATTTCAATGGGATCCAAGTCCAATGAACCTAGTCTTGATCTAACCCTACAGATCCATAGCTGAAGATGTCACTTGTGGTAACACCTATTTACTGATGCAAACAATAACAAAAAAAACCCCAACAATCAGGCAGTGGTGTGGTACCTGCCAATACCCACCATCCCCATGGGAGGGATAGCAGCCCATGCGCTGCATTATTACTATTTCTTAGAATCTCTGAAATGGATATTTCCATAGGAAAATGCAATACATTTGTTTTTCATTCACAGGAGAAGGTAACAGAAATCAGCAATCACAATTCAGAACCAGGGGCTACAAAAGTTATTTTGAGGACTATAGCTCCCAAAAGCCCTCATCCAGCATGCCAGGGGCCGGAGGGCTTAGGAATTCTGCAAATTCCTCCCAAAAAGATTTTTCCTAATTCCTCTCAGAACACTACCTATATCCAGAATTGGGGGAGGGGCTTTGTAAATTCAATGACACCGCAAGGCTGCAATCCAGGTGACCTGGATTTAAACCAAAAGGCTTCAGAATATTTCAGAAAAACATAATATTTTTTGACAACCGGGCTCCTGATTACCTGCTGCAGCCTCAGAGATTCCAGCTCTCTTTCCAGCCTTGTGCGCAGCCGCTGTTCCATCTGCTCTCGTTTCTCGTAGGCCGCCTGAAGCTGAGTCAGCGCCTGTTGAAGCTTCTCTACCTTCTCAACGTGGGCTTGCTTCTTCCTCAGCTGTGGGCACACAAAAAACAGGATTCCAGAGTTAGAAAGCACCTCGGAGGCAATTTAGAGCAACACCTTCGGTGAAGAAGAGGTAACTGCACTGTCAACAACCTTTAGAGGAGACCCACAGTTATCATCAGAAGAAAGTGGATAACGACGACGCAGACAGAGCTAACTCCAGTGTCCAACACGTTCTGTGCCTGAGGCAGGGCAACAAGTGGTGTTCACTCCCTCACTAGCACATTCAACCACCGGATATAGTATCCAAAGCCAAATTACAGGGTTGCAATATACCCCCCACAAGTTCCTTCCCTCTCCCCTCCCTGACAGCAAAAGAAAGCAAACTAATAATCACTAATTGACTAATTAACACTTGCCGGCCTTTCACAACACCCACAATTTGCCACCCGAATTAGCCGTCTGAGTTAGCACAGCTGGCCGTGTCTATCACACAGCAAAGGCTTTACAGATGTAAACTCCCAGGTTCAGCCACTTCCGGATCTCAGAAATCGTAACCTGCACATTTCATCCAGTCCCTAAAGTACTGCTACGAAGTCTTGAGGCTTTTTTAAGTTCTGTTTGTCTGAGACTGCTGCCCCTTCTTTTCCCCACAATACTGGAAAGATAAGATAGAAGCCAAACTCCTCACCCTTTTCACTTGCTTTCTTTTCTTTTTCCCAAAATAATCCACTCTGTAGTCCTCATGACTAAAACAGAAAGACTAACCGCTTGAGGGAAAAGTCAGTGATGAAAGAAGCAGACTTCAATGCTCTGGGGAATGCCCGCACATGATATGAGAGAAACAGAGTTCGTTTCTGAAGGGTTTTAACTTTCATCGGTTCTTTCCAGTTGTAGAAACTGGGTTTTGAAATATTTTCAGAAGCTGTTCCAGACTGCCTTCTTAAATATACTTTGAAGTAACAATTACTGAACTGAGAAAACATAAAGCAAAATATTGATGGGAAACCCAGTACAGTGGTGCCCCGCTTAACGATTACCCAGCTTGACGACTAATCTGCTTCACAACGATGTTTTTGCGATTGCAAAACGATGTTTTAATGGGCAAAATCCACTTTGCGACAATCGGTTCCCTGCTTCGGGAACCGATTCTTCACATTACGACGATCAAAACAGCAGATTGTCGGGGTTTCAAAATGGCTGCCGGCTGTTCAAAATGGGTCCCAGCTGTGTTCAGGACAGATTTTTCGCTGCACAGGCATCAGAAAATGGCTGCCCTATGGAGGATCTTCGCTGGACACTGAGGTATTTCCCCCACTGGAACGCATTGAACTGGTTTTCAATGCATTTAAATGGGCTTTTTTATTTTGCTTGACAAGGATTTTGCTCTACAGCGATTTCGCTGGAACGGATTATCCTCGTCAAGCGAGGCACCACTGTAATACCCTCCCAAGAGTTAATGAGAGAGAGGGACAGGCAGGCAGGCAGGCAGAGGCAAAGAGAAGTGAACTAGTCTTACCTCTTCTTCTAATCTGATGACTTTGGCTTGCGCACTGTTCAGAGCCTGGTCCAGAATTTCGATGTGCCTTCGCTGCTCCTCATTAGTCAGGCGCATGGCCGCCAAGTCCATCTCTAGCTTCTCCTTCTCTTTCAAGTACTCTTTGTCTGGAAGGTAGGCAGAGATCAAAGTTCGGTACGTCAGAACAATTCCCAGACTCCACGCCATGTAACAGAAGTGCATACAAAGACCCCGCTTAACTCAGTGCTCAGAGAGTTTGGGACAGAGGCTGGAAAGAATGAGACTCAAATCCCCACTTGGACCAGCTCCTCTCTTCCACCCTAACCCACCTCACACGGTTGCTGTGGGATACAATGACAAGGGGAGAAGCAATAAATATCAACGTATTTCCCTGATTCTGGCCGCCTTACACTTGTTTTTCTGTCCATTTCCGTCCCAGGTTCAAGGTGATGGGGCTAACCTACAAAGCCTTAAATGGCTTGGGACCTTAGTACCTGGCAGCACGCCTATTCCCAACTAGGACCACTCATTCTACCTGCACTTCCCAGGCAGACAGCTGAGGATGCTGGCCATGAGAGAGGCCCACAAAGAATAAACAAGAAATCGGGCCTTCTTGGTGGTTGCTCCCTGTCTCCCCATCTGCTATCCACCTGGCCCTTTCATTACTTTCCAGGAAAAAAAAATTAAGACCTGGTTATTTCAGCAGGTATTTCATAATATGCCATCTACAGCGCCTACCTAATCTGAAGTCACAGCCAAAATATTGTAAGACCACCACCAATTTAAACGTTTTAACTGTTAGAGTATTGTAGAATGTATTTTAACTGTCTAATTATTTTGAGAGTATATATTTTTTATTGTTGAGTTGTTCTATAATTTTGATTATCTATTGTTGTTTTATGTTGTAAGTATTGTAGAATGTATTTTAACTGTTTGATTATTTTGAGAGTATATATTTTTTTATTGTTGAGTTGTTCTATAATTGTGATTATCTATTGTTGTTTTATGTTGTAAACCGCCCAGTGTGGCCTTTGACCCATCGACCGACCAACCAAACAACCAAATACCCTGCCTAAAACTCCCTGGAATGAAGGTGGCACATAAATACAGTAAGTTGACCATGAAACCCACTGGTGGTGGCGGAGAGAAAAGAAAAATCACATATACAGCATTGAACGCCTTTTAGAAAAAATGGGACATAACTTCTTCTTCTTCTTTTTTGGAAAGGTAAGTCTTTTTCCATTCTTGTTGCAGCAGATACTATTATTGCAGTAACCCATTCTGAAATTATATTGCAATGAAAAGGGCTGTTTCTTGAGCAGTTCCTCAGTTTCTTACCTTATGCCCAGTGCCAAAGGAAGGCAACTAACTGATAGCCTTCCAAGTTGAGGCTCAGCTGCTGGATTTGACCACCATCTAATGAAACTACAAGCATGCTTGAGAGACCATCTTGCATTACGACCTCACCTATTACTGAAGAGGTCAGCTGAAGTACATTCTGCTTAAATTTGAAATGTACGCTTCTTTAGCATTTCACAGAAACTTGACAGAGACTTTTGCTTCATCAGCTTTCCCCTGCAAGGCAAGACTTTGGCCGGGGGGGGAGTGCAAGTCCAGGGGAAATCCCAACCCTCCATGTATCACAACCTCCCCTTGACAATCCTGAATTTCCAATGGCTCAGAGTCTCAGTTCTAGGTAGATGAAGATGGTGGACATGAAGCTTTCGGAGAAGGCACTTTGCCGCACAGCATCGCTAAAGGTTTAAAAAGAAAAGGAGTGGTTTTGTGCCTAAGAGAAAAGAATGCAGAATCATCGGGTGTGTGTGTGTGTGTGTGTCAGAGAAGAGCTGACCACAAATAGGGTAGCCACGGTGGTGCAGATGGCAGAGGGAGTCTGGAAGGGCATCTTGCTGCAGCTCCTTCAAACTTGCCAGAGAGCTAATCTTAGAGATTACCTAAAAGAGGAATGGGTTGGGTGTGTGTGTTTCCAAATGGGGCTTGAGAACAGGCCTTATCAAACTACTAGCAGGCTGCAATGGGCCCAAAGACTAAAGGTACCATTGCTCGCTCTCCCCAAAAATGCATCTCGAATGGCTGTTTAATAAATCAGTTTATATTTTTAAAATCCTACGCTTCCTTTGAGGAGTCAATATTGTATACATTGTCTCTCTCTGTTTATTACTCTCACAACCCTATCTTTTAGCTAAGAGACAAGCATCCAGTCCAATATCATCAAACAAGATTCATGACATGACAAGGTTAGGAATGAGTTTTAGCCCTGGGTTTTCTACTCATTCTTTAATTATTTAGACCAGCTTGCCTCAAACTCTGGGCAAAGCAAACAGCTCACATTCAGGCGAGATTCGCTCAGTATCTCCATCAAGGAGGGCGGGGGGAATGAAAGAAACCAGCAGTGGGGAGCGTGGGATATATGATCTGTTATATGTGGACTGTGAAAGTAAGGAGAACAAGAATGGAAAGGAGAGGAAGAATGGAAAGGCGGGAGGAGGAAGACAATATAGATTAAGATGTCTTCCCCACAGATCCTCTGGCTCAGCAAATTCTGTCCAGAATGGGGATACCGCCGGAGACAATGTCTGCACCTCAGTTGAAGCAAGATGAATTTTGGAATTCCCTGCTGTAACGCACTCACTAAGGTAAATAATTTTGTAATTTCTGAGGAGGACTCAGATAACAATAAAATTGTATCAGTAACTGTCAACTGCTGGTATGAAACCCAGCCTTCTTCTGTCATCATTTCTGTGGCTGCTTCCACCCTTGCCAGTACCATTTTGTAACAGCTGAGCTTCAGTGATTTTCATCTCTTTCAACGAGGTCCTGATGGTACAGATTTTTAAAATACCTTTTTTATTATTGTTGTTGTTTTTGTTGTATGCTGTCAAGTTGGACCCAACTTAAAGGTAAAGGTAAAGGTTCCCCTTGACAATTTTTGTCCAGTCGTGTTCGACTCTAGGAGGCGGTGCTCATCCCCGTTTCCAAGGCATAGAGCCAGCGTTTGTCCGAAGACAATCTTCCGTGGTCACATGGCCAGTGCGTCTTAGACACGGAACGCTGTTACCTTCCCACCGAAGTGGTCCCTATTTATCTACTTGCATTTGCATGCTTTCGAACCGCTCGGTTGGCGGGAGCTGGGACAAGCAATGGGCGCTCACTCCGTCGCGTGGATTCGATCTTACGACTGCTTGGTCTTCTGACCCTGCTGCACAGGCTTCTGCGGTTTAGCCCGCAGCGCCACCACGTCCCTTGGACCCAACTTAGAGCAATCATAATAAGGCTTTCAAGACACATTAAGTGAGATATTTAAACAGTGGCTTCACCGGTTCTACATCCTCAATGAGTTTCCATGACAGAGCTGGAATTTGAACCCAGTCTATCACTGCATCCACTACACCATTAATCTTTATTAAAAATATTTATATACTCTTTTTATTCTCCCCCTCCAAGCACTGTGTAATAAAAATTGTAACATATAAACAAGAGAAACAAAACATTCTGTAAAAACAAACTAAAGCAAATTCTTAAAGCCAAAGGTCTAACAAAATAGTAGTTTTGACGGTCAGATGCTGCCAGGCAATTGATCTTTTATGCCAGCTGTTGATTCTAGAGACGCCTCACTAGTACCAACATCCTTTTCTGCTGGGTGTTTCTGTGCTTTTTTTTTAACTCTGCGCCATTCAAGTGAGCTTTGTCGTGAATCATCTAAACAAACAGGAATGCACATAGCTTCAGCTGTTGCCAGACATTCCAGAAAGGCTCTGATGAAGACCGAACATGGGATGGATTTACTTAGCAAAGGAAGCCACAGTTTTTCCTTTGCTTTTTAATTAGCAGAACTGTTTTAACTTTTTTAAAGGGGAGAGAATCATGGTTTTGTGTAAGTAAGCCTTTTCAAATAAGGCACCATCTTGCTCCCCCTAAAGTGAAATAATTTATTTATTTATATTCATTTATTTGATTTATATCCCGCCCATCTGGTATATTTATACCACTCTGAGCGGCTAATGTCTTCTCTGGAAAACATCTTCACGGCTGAGTAAGAAGATTTGCCCCAAAGTTGCCTAACAATGACTACAGTCCTAGTGCTGTTCATGGGAAATTTCCATAACTTGCCATGACTAATTGACAAGGTGCTTGGGCATGTCTTAGTCACATGCCTAGTCATGCACAATAAAGATCTAGCCTAGGACCTCACCCATTAGCTGCAATTAGTCTTGGCAGGGAACAGGAGCTTTACATGAACACTACTACGATTCAAGCCAAAAGGTTAACCCAACAATTGGCAAGACACAGATCTTTTCATTAACCTGTTGCCAATACATAACCTGTTAGACATCTATTGCTACCAAAGAATCTCCAGGATGGCACCAGTATCCTCAAGAGGTCTGTAAGATTTATTTGGGTTGTCATCATCTTACACAAGGCAGTCCTTGCTCCAAAAAAAATCTTAGCACTCTAGGACGTTAGACTTCCCAAGTCCTACTGTTTATGTACAGAACACATGCACAGTCTTTGACAGAGGTATCTTAGTTATAAATAAGCATGACCTGCTTGAGGAGGTTGTGTATCAGCCTTTTTCTATTCTTGGAAATACCTTCATTCCGCTTTGTAGCCTTTGGCTGTCTGGTCCAGAGGACAAATAATGCCTGTCTTAAGGAACTATATTTGTTCATACATTGTGAATGGATAGCTGCAACTGGGCTTAACTGTGTCGGTATTTTTTTAGTGTGTGTAAACAAGCATATTTCATCACTCTCTGAGGTCAGCCAAGAAACGAACAGCCAGACAATGCCGCCTTTTAGCTCAAGCCAGGGTTGCTCTACAAGAACCATGTCTAGGATCAACAGTTTGTCACAGAACCCTTCCCCAGCTTGGGACACCATGGCTGACAAGTAACTTGCCCCGAAATTATCTCTGTAGCAATGACCAGGTCAGTTTGTGAGCCCATCCATCCAAATGCCAATGGCATACATCAGCTTTATAAGACAAGGGTGGGGAATATTCAGGACCCAGACCTACTGGGATATGCCACAGTTTCACTAAGCTGCCACCAACCATTCCCTATAAGAAGTCACACAGACCAGGGATGGATTTTTAACAAATAAAAGAACAAGGTTTATTAAATAAC